CAAGAACTTGCGCGGCGCAACGACCACACTCCACAACAGCTGACCAGAGGTTCCTAAGCCTCGCAGTGTTCACCTTAGTGCATTCTAGATGCAACTCGCTGGTGGCATCGCGAGCTTGGTCTCAACGCGTCAGCTTTTGTTTCGAACCGAAGCGACTCCTTCACACATTCCCTCACAAAGATGGGTCGTGACTTCTCGAGACACTGCAGCTACTTATGGATCCTTCCTTCTCGGTGATCTCACCTTGGAGTATCAGACATTTGGGATTCCCCCCCATCAAGCACGAAACATGGACTGTCATTTTATCATGCTCCTCGAAGGGGCAGATTCTACGCTAAAATCCTGCAAGAAAACATCGAGTGGTCGTGAACAGGATATCGGTGTTTTCGTAGGAATCCTCGGCTAACCTGTTGAACGAGCGGCTGCTGGTGATCCCGCCGTCGCAGGAGCGCCGTAAATATCATTCGCCAGTGGCCAAACATCATTCATTCTCGGCCTCACGGGCCCTTGTCTTTCCCTTGATACCGCGTGCTCTTCGCAACTCGTTGCTATTCACCTTGCATCTGCCGCCTTGATACTCCGCGAGTGCCCGGATGCGATTGCTGCTGGAGTCGGGCTGCTCGGGCCTATTTTCACGGGCGCCTTTGCCGCTCAGGGCATGCTGTCTGGGCGGGGTTGATGTCACACCTTTGATGTTAGAGGAGATGGGTATTGTCGCGGGGAGGGCTCCGTGTCCATCTTGTTGTCTGTGGGTGAAGTTGCTCGATTCGATGTCGACGCGACACGGGTGCAAAACGACGGACCGAGCGCGAGTCTGACCGCTCCTAACGGATCTGCGCAGCGGCGGCTTATTATTGCTGTTCAAGACTCGCTCGTCACTCAAAACAAACGCAGCGCCCTCGAGGCACATGGCACGGGAACGGCGCTTGGAGATCCCGTGGAGGTTGGCGCAGCTACAGGCGCGCTCTGTGAGGCAGGAATCGACGTTTCTTGCACCTCGCTGAAAGCCAACATGGGGCATCTGGAGGCCGTCGCGGGCGGGGCTGGGGCGGCGGCCCTGCTTTGTTTGTCGTTGTCATTTTGAGGTGTCGCCGCCAACGCCCAGACACGGAATCTGAATCCGCACCTCGTCACTGTTGTCTGAAACGCGCCCTTCCACATCCCACTCTGCGATTCGGCACCTCTGTCGTGAGCACCTTTGGGTCGA